GCCTTCAATTTCTCTGTGATAAAACAGAGCTAAAGAAGGCACTGATGCTATGATAAATGAGCTCCCTGATGTTATTTTTACAGACCCAGTAAAAGTAATTTCCTGATAGTCTGTAGATAAAATGCTGGAGAGAGATCAGGCTTGTGAGGTGTCACAATGAAGTGGACGGACTGGCAGCGAGCGAAGCCTGTGGGCTGCTCTGTAGAGGGTGTGGGCAGAGGCACGCGCCCCTTGGCAGTCTTCTGGACTAAATCTCTCCCTTTCTGATTTTGATTCACAAAGGAGAGAATTAGGCCATTTTCAAAAGGGGCAGTATTTAGGTGTTTTGATGGACTTTGCCTGTCTGAGTGCTGAATGCCAGCAGCGCCTGATTTCTCCTGATGCTCAATGAACAGTGAGCAGACAATCCTGGAGAGCTGGTTGTCTATATCTTGTCCTTTGTCTATATCTTGTCTAGTTCAACTCTAAGTTCTGGGGGCCCGAAACTCTCTTACATGCTTTTCTTTATGGTTATATGCATATGCATATACACACACATATGTATATACACATGTATATGCATGTGTGGGTGTGCCTGTACATTTGCACATACATACATGTATTTATGTACGTTCTCTTATTTTAAGAAGAGCTGTCTAAGTATTTAAGCCCTGGTACTCTGTACTGCTGAATACTACACTCCCGTCTGGTGCCAAAGCCCGTATACCCATCACATCGACACACAGGTGAATGCCGCCATGCGAGTAGTAAGTGGGACGCTAAAACCCGTGCTACTTCCATGGCTGCTGGTGTTATCGATTATTGCTCCCTCCACGGTGAGAAAGGGTCCAGTTGTACTTCGGAGAGCATGAAAAGATCGTGGCTGACCCTGAACTCCCGTTGCGTGACGATATTGCCCACCCACCAAGTTGTAGGCTCAAGCGGAGGAAACCTTTCTGGTTACGTATGCTCCAAACTTTCATTGAACAGTCTGGACGCTGAGAGCTGGTGGCACGAAATCTGGTTGGCAGCAACAGTGTGCAGCAAAAATTTGGTTTTAAAACTGACCATCAAGCTTCTGGATTTCCACCTGCAATGCAAATATTCGACTGCGCTGAACCGCCTTCATATGGGACATGGAAGGTGTGCCTATTTATTGAACAAATGGGCCATCAAGGACTGACCAAACTGTGTATGCGGTGAGCTGTAGTCAGTGAGCCACATTGCAAACTCCTACCCTGAACTTGCTTATCACGGAGGGATTGAAGCAATCCACTTAGCCGGCCTGGATGTCATCACCTGGCTATCAGACCTCAACCTACAACTTTAATTCACTTGCACCTTTTCTGCCGTTGCTTGCCGTCGCCATACGAAAGAGAGAGAATATTTAATGACAGGATTTCCCTAGCATTTGGTGTCAAATTGGTTTAGCAATTTGAGTGTTGTGCCCACTTACAGGACTCCGCATTCCTTTTATTTGTGTTTCATTAGTACTTGCAGACGACAGTTCAGCAGTGGCCCTATTGTGCTAGGTACTGTACAGACGCATAATGAGAGCCAGTTCCTCCTCTAACGATTTCACCAGTCTAAATGGAGATGAGAAGCTAAAGTGAAGTTACCTGCCAAGCTCCCAGCAAGCCCAGCTTGGTGTCCTGGTTTCAAAGGACTGCTAGCTCGTGAAGCTATGAGTGGGAAGCAAAGAAAAAGGTTTCTTGTGGATGCTTTCTTATGATGATACTTTAGTAGGAGGGCAGAGAAGTTGGATCTCAAGATTAGAGAGCAGGTGGTAAAAAGTAGTCTCTTCCCTATGTGCCCACCTGGGAAGAACAGCCTGGAACGTAATACATGCACTGCAATGAACTGTCTAGCGTGTGCAAGCGCGACCTCTGGAAGGCAGAAGCTGGGCACCACAGGCATTATAATGAGCTGTAACTACTCTTGGGTTATTATGCAAAGTAGCGTAACAAGCTAAGTATATAGCATATACCTAGATGCTGTACTATAGCTATACTCAATACTATGGCTAGTATATAACAAGCTAAGCCATTGATTGTAGACTTGGCCAGCTTTAGCCACCTCTGATATTCCTGGGAAGAGAAATCTGAATGTCTTTGGGGGGAAAAGTGCGAATGTTTTCTGTTCTGCTTCTACCGTGCTTGTCACGGAGGTAGCTGAGCGTGTATATATATGTGTAGTTGCCAATAAAGGATGAAAAGACTTTTGAAAACAAACGTTTCCTTTTCTCCGCATTGCCTTTCAGGATCTCTCGTCACACAGGGCTTATGAAATGTCCCCTTAGTTGGGTTTTGATGAACTTAGTGGGTGTTTCTGAGGTGGATCAGTTGGAATTGGCATGCAGATGCTGCCCTGGCATCTGGAAGTCTCTTGTTCACATCGCACTTTCATTGAACTGTAAACCAGGTAGTCCTTCCCTTTTGGGATCCCTTTCGCTCAGACTGAGTTGATCACAAACCCTGGTGGCAGATCTCTGTTATGAGCATCTTTTCTTCCTAGGATCTAGGAGCACCCGGTGAACAGAATCTGGATGTAAAGCCTCCTAATGCGTAAGCAAGAAAGAGCTGCTTTATCTCCCTGTTTTGCCAGAGGAGAGCAGCGATCATTGAGTCTGTCCCTTTGCATAATACGAGCCGAAGAACCTCATCCAGCAATTTCTGTTCAAGTCCATACCTCCTGCTTGAGCTTCTGCAAGTCACCTAGGACACCCAGTCCTGACAAGACTTCAACTGGTGGGAGAACCACCATGCCTCTAGGTGTGTAGCTAACCGCCGTCACTGTCAAAAGAAAATGCACACCTGGTTGCTAGTCCGAATTCCTCTGTCTTCACCTCCCATCCATTGGATTGCATTATGTCTTTTTCTACCAAGTCAAGAGTGCTTAACCAGATCCATGGGCCAGATCTGCATCTCCGAACTGTATCATCTGGCCCCTGGGGCTCTCTATGGGTTTGGAAATTTGGCAGCAGGAGAGTGGAGCAGCGTTCATTGCTGCTCCCCTGCTGGCAAATTTTTGGACCTTTGTGGAGCCCTGCATATGGGATAACACGGCCTTACATACCACATTGCACCAGTGTGCGGCTAGATCTGGCCACACAGGGTCATGCTGGCACACGTCTGGGTCCGGGTATGTGGGGCTGAGCTGATGTGCTGGATTGCACCTGCAGAGTAAACCCATGCAGGATCTGGCCCGCAGACTGTCCCTTTGCCACTTATTCAGTCAGTTGGGTACCATTGGACTAGGTGACAGAGCCACCTTCTCTTCATCTCTTCAGTAGAGTCATTCCTGATTTCTACTGCCATAGTCACACCAGGTTCAAACAGCACAAATCAGAGGAGACTCGGCCATCGTCTTTAGAAACCAACTTTCATAAGTCGCTGCGCTATATTTGACAGCTTTTGGAGCTGCGACTTCTCTGAACTGCTACCCACGCCTTCCCCGCCCCCAGCCAGCTCTTATACGCTGACATATTTCTTTTTTTTTCTTTCTGATGCATGTGTCTGGCACTGTGGGCAGCAAATATAACCTGTTTCTTTCCCTTTTAATAATGAGAGATTCACATTACACAATTTTCTGGTCTTGAAAACTGGAGACCTGTAGCAATAATTGCAATAAATTAACCCTGCCATTTTCTTCATAAAACTGTCTGGGGAGGTTACTTAATTCACTTTGTCATGAGTCACTTTAATTACATCATGACCGGGCTGATGAATGCCTGAGTAGGTAAGGGGCTCTTGGAGTTTGCCTGATAAATGCTTATTGCTGGATCTCGCTGTTTGGCTGTAAATATTTGGTTCTGGGACTGAGCCTGGGTTTATAAGATTGTTTCTGTTTTGTTTCCAGGCAGTCGGATTTGGCTGCTTTTCTGCAAGCAAAACAAGATTTATTTTTTTTATTTATAGTTGTATTTCATAATCGCTCGGAGCCCCTAGCCCCCTTGCGTTAGGCTTGCTATAGATATGCAATAAGAGTATGAATGTTTAGAGTGCTTTCGCTGCGGGAGGAAGTATAATGTAGGGTATAATACTCAGGCATAGGAGACTAAACGTTTTTAATTTGGCCATTGACTCCTGTGTGACCTGAGGCTAGTAGACACTTTGATCTGTGCCTCAGTTTCTCCATCAGTGCAATGGGCATAAAATTGAATTCCTCACAGGGATGTTGTGGAGCTCAATTAATTGGGCAGTGCTCAAGCCCCTTCACATGGGAAGTGTTGCAGAAATACAAACCAGTGTCAGTAGTTATAAAAGCAGATGGAGAAGCATCACTAGTCATGATTAACTCCTCACAGCCACAGCGAGAGGACAACCTCTGCCCTCCAAACTCAGTTTCCCACTCCTTCAGAGGGAGAGTTCCCCTAGATTATAGAGACATAGGACCCGTATGACGTGGTTGAGTAGTTGCAATTCCGTCCAATAGAAGGCCGTGTTGTACAGCAACTCATGTTTATTTAACATACGATACCCAGTCAGCAGCCAGATGCTCTGTTAGGGTAAATAGCTGTGTCTCTTGGTTTCAGTGGCCGCTAGAGTAATACGGGTCCATGTGGGATCCAGCCCAATGTCCACAGAGCATAAATGTTTCGGGCCGCCAGCTTGGTTACTTATTTGGCACGTTTTCCTGTGGTGCCGCATACGGCTGTGTCCTGGTGACCGAAGGACCATAAGCTGCCATTGAACGACAGTATTCAAACATAAGTCATGAAATAGTTCCATCTTTTTTCATTGCTGCTGTAAATCCAACTCTACCAGAAGCCAGTTCATTTTGCGTTGGAAAACATAATTGCCACGGTTGTCTAACTAAACCATCTGGTAGAGACGCAGTAAAATCCAGTTAACTAGGTAAGCACAGCAGTTAAAACAGCCACATTTTCTTTTATCCAGGTTTCGGTGTTTGCTGCTGTCCTGTTCTGGGATCCCAGCTGGCACTGTTGGGCAGTTCATGGCTTTTAGCAACCACGTTCTAATTATTATTATTTTTTTTTTTTTTGCTTTTATTTTAAACAGACGAAGGGTCAAGCTTAGAGGATACTGATTTTAATTGGGATGAATACTTGGAAGAAACGGGAGCCAGCGCTGCTCCTCATACATCGTTCAAACACGTACGTACTTTGTCTGGGCCTTGAAAATGCTCTTTGTATTGCCTCTTCATTTTCCTTGGACAGGGTCATTCTGGAAGATTAAGGATGTTACTGATGATTCTTGGGGAAACATCATCAGGCGTTTTTCTCTCCTCAAACGGTGTCCTCCATTCCAAGTGCTGCTGCTGAAATTCCTGCCTGCCCCTACTCAAATCTCCTTTCTCTCTCTCTCTCTTCCTTGCTAAAATCCTGTTTCCCCTTCTACTCTCCTCCCCTTATCTGTACACTTCTGCTTTGTGTATATGCATTGCAAACAAGGTGGGATTGCTGCATATTCATTCCTCACCAATCTGGCTTTAAGATAACCAATTTAGCTACTGATAACACAGTGCATGGTAGCAAACTGCCCAAGACAGGCTGCACAACCTGCCCAAGTAATTGGTGAGTAGCCTTACTTCATCTCCAAGGTACCACAGCTGTACTTCCAAGAGAGGACAAGCCAGGCAGCTTGGGTTTGTCTACACGAGCCACATTTACCTACTTGATTGTAGTGTAGACATACCCTTTGTCATCTTACGGGTCACGTCAGAGTTGGGATTTCTCTGAGGCTCTGTGTTGCTTTTCCTCCTTGCCTCTTTCATAGTCTCATTCATTTTTTCCATGGTGCTCCAACACAAATTTCTCTCACACGCTGTTCCGTTTCATCAAAGCTCTTCTTGAACCAAAAATGATCTGGGAAGCCTATCTATGTTCATTTTCCTTGTTACCAGGGAATGCCTCCACTTCTCCACACTGAAGATATCTCAGCAGGTATCTCAGAGATCCCTTCTGCCAGCAATTTGGCTACTTGGGGCACTTGGAGCCATAAATATACTACTACTATGATACCCTCACTCATGGAAATGTGGCTTTATTTGCACAACAAGAGTCCTGGAAGCATCGTGATAAATACAGCCACTGTCTGCAGTCCTGACCCATGCTTTTTTCAATTAGTGGAGGAGAGCCAAGAGCACCTGTGATGGTAAAGACTTTCTTTGAAGAGGAAACTATCTCCATCCTGAAGCACAAGAGAATAACTTCAGGATGTAGAAAATCATTGCTCAGTGTGACTGACCTTGCCACATACCAGCCATTATTGAACTCTCCCTTTCCTAACTGGGAGGCTTCACTGTTTGTCCCTGCTGGCTACTAGATCCAGTTGAACGTTTCACTCTTCCTCTTCAAAATCCTCCATGGGATAGAAAAGCCTTTAATTTCCAAGGGAGCCCCATTTCATTGTGCATGATCATCCCCCCACCCAGCAAACGTCAACCTCAAGAGCAAGATGCGTGTGCTTGTGTGTGTGCGTGCATGTGTGTGCTTGTGTCCCTTTGTGGTGACTGTTCTCTTGAGTCTGGAACCTATTTTCAGAGGAGGTTGGGCGGACCTCTCGAAAGGCATTGGGGTTTGTGATGTAAACAGCCCACTTGTTTGCATTAACCTTTGTACTGTTGCATCATATAGTCACTCTCTCATGAAGGATGCCACGTTTTCTCCTCTCATAAATACCAAACTCTGGTCCTTACAAACCAGAGCAGTGGGAGAACTACAATTTAATCATTTTGGAAGGTGCTTGGTCCCCATGGGTGCATCTACACGACACCGTGCACAGAAGACAAATTCTACTGCGCATTAGTGCAGCAGGAAAAGCCTGCGCTAATGCTCAGTAGGTTTAGTCTAATGCACAAGAGTGTCACCGAAAAACATTAATCAGTGCTAATGTGCAGTAGTGCAGATTATGGCGCATTAAATTAGTACCCGTCATTACAAGTACTAAATTTAATGTGCTGTAATTATGGCTCATTAATGAATGTGTAGACATGCCCCATGGTGATGGATGCCACAGAAGAACTTCCATAGAGGTGTGTGATCCTGAGACCAAACTGCTCCTGTTGTTTTGAGACTTCCAAGATCTGACAAAGACCAAATTTAGGGGTTAAGGAAAAATAGGAAATGCTTTCCTTGATTCATTCATGCAGATCTCACTGATACTTAAGGACCGCAAATGTACTGTGTAGCCTGAACGTAATTAGCAGCCACAACATAGCATTGTGATGGTCATGTATGGCAAGCAGAGGAGGAGTATTCAGTCTCAAAGGTGCTCTTTCTCCAAGTGAGCAAAGTACCATGATGTTTCCCTTTTAACATTTGGTTGGAACTCCCAAGGTATAGATTGCAGTTTGGGTATATGCAATCCAGTAGCACAACAGTAGTGTATATATAACTTCACGACATCCCTTTGAGGAAGGGAAGCATTATTATTCCCATTTTAGAGATAGGCACCAAGTCATAGAGAAACCAAGGATCACTTTTTTTTTTTTTTTTATAAGCATTTGGCTTTATGGTGTTAGCAGGGGGTCTTGCACTTGGGCCTGTAGACCATGACTGGTTGGAAAGGCCATGGTAAGTGCTCTGTGGATTGTACCTTTGCACATTTGTAATGTTTTCAGTTAAAAGTTTGGTGCATGGTGGTCTGTGGGAAAAGTGGAAGGTCGACAGTGGTCCGTTAGTCCAAAAAAGGTTGGGCACCACTGGATTAAAGGATGTGTGAAGTGCAGTAGGGAACTGAGCTTGATTCTCTCAAATTTTAGGCCAGTATCCTAACCATTGGGCCTTCTTTCCCCGAGAAAGAGAAAGGAAACTTTCCTTCAAGTTCTGTAACAAAGAAAAGATATATCAAAACAACAGTTAGGAGATGCAAGAAAGGCAATACATTAAGCATGCATTCAGCTCTTAACTGCATTGGTTAGGAATATCCTATAGAACATGCAATGCCTTCTCTTGATTTTTTTTTTTTTTTTTTTTCTGGACAGTTACTTGGGATCTGCTTCCGCCCCTGTTGAAGTCAATAGAGGCTTTGAGAGTATCTTCAGTGGAGAAAAACTGTGACTGTAGTCTCTTGCTGCTTTTCTTCTCTCAACCAGAGATTGAGGCTATGTTGTGCTAGCCATGGTGCAGTCACATTGTAGTAGATTTTCCGCCCCAGAGAACTCGCAGCATAAATAGATCAGACAGGCAAGGGAAGCAGAAAGAGTTTGTCCAAGTTTGCTTCTCATGTCATTGGCCAACCTGAGAACAGATCATAGGCCTCAAGTTCCTGCCTGGGACTTGGACCTTCTGTAGTGTTGTTTCCTACCTCAAGGTATTCCTTCAATTTGCTCAGCTGGAGAGAGACGTTTCTAGTATAAAGAAAAGTAATAATACCTGTTTCTAATTTTGTAAGGTTGAAATCAGCCTACAGAGCAGTTTCCAACCAGGGATGAAGTTAGAAGTGGCCAACAAGAACAATCCAGACACATACTGGGTGGCTACAATCATTACGACATGCGGGCAGCTCTTACTGCTACGTTACTGTGGCTATGGAGATGATCGCCGAGCAGATTTCTGGTGTGATGTGATGACAGCTGATCTTCATCCAGTCGGCTGGTGCACCCAGAACAACAAGGTGCTGATGCCTCCGGATGGTGAGTACTGTGCATTTTGTCAGGGTTATGTTCTAGGACAAAAGCTGATGGCTAGGTGCTAGTCTGGCACCCAGTCTGCTGTTGTAACTCCGCATCCTCAGCTTTTGTGGCTCTGTTCAAGTCATGTCACATGAGTTGAGAATCAGGTCCTCTGAGTCCCAAGAAAAGCTTTCAGGGACAACTATCCTTTGTAGAGTTGGCCACTTAACTGCAAAACCCCCATCCTCACGTGCTGTCCTTACTCCCTTGAAGACCGTGGGAGTTACGCCCGAGTAAGGATCAGTGGATTTGTTTCTTGGGCACAAAGGTTATGTCTACATGGAACAGGGAGAGGGACCCAAACTAGGTCTGAATGAACTGGCTCTGCTACAGTATTGTTCTCGAGAGGGCTACTTAGGTTGGGCTGCTGCATTAATGTTGCATTAGATTGCTTCTGGTATACGAGCTTGCTTTTTCAGGGTCAGCTTGGGTATGACACTGCATTGTCTCATGTAGACATACCCTAAGGATCAAATGCAGTTCTTTAATAGCTGAGGTGATTGAGTGCCAACTGCAGGTTAGCTGTGCTGCAGGGGCAGTCAACAGCGAGCAGCGCCATGGTCCTGACCTATGGAGGAACCACATTCTGTAGGAGCAGTATGAGAAAGCATGGTGGGTAGAGGAGCAAAGTACAGTCAGTGGCATGAAGCAAGTTGGCCATGCCCCAGCGTGGGGAGAAAATGCTGGTCTTCTGCAGCCCCATACGCTGTGGCTGCTTCCATGAAAGCTTTCAAACCTAAGCTCAGGCATGGCCACAAGTTTCTCTTCTCACCACTGACCACATAATATACCCTCCCAGTTTTTCTTGAGCAGTGGATGAACATTTAACCTCCAACTTCAGTTGTTTTTGAATCAATTTTAGGAAATTTTTAAAATGTAAGGCGATGTATGAATGCAGCTGAAATGAATTTTATTTTTCTTGTTTATGAGAACTGCTTGCAAGGCTTACACTTCATTCGCATCTTGTGCTTCATTTTTTTATGGGGGAGAGAATGTATCAGATTGGCCTCTAAGCCAGCAGCTCTGAACTGGGGGTACATGTACCCCCAGGTGGTACGTGAAGCCTCATCAGGGGGTTCGTGAGATATTTCATACATTGTCTAACACAGGTTGAAGGGCCTAAAAAAAGTCTTGACAATTTGAAAAGTCTTTGTATGAGTATCTTGCCGTTTTTATAATACATGATTACACATAGTTTGACATAATAATTAGTTTCCCATTGAAAGGGGGTATGTGAAGTCTCACTCTAAGACCAAGGGGTACGTCGACTGGAAAAGGTACCCCTTGGAACCGCTGCTCTAAGCTGTTGTCAGTGAGAGATGTACTCCCTTAAACCAGGACTGACTTCATCCTGATTGCCTTAGCACAGGGGTGGGCAAAATGCGGCCCGGGGGCCGGATGTGGCCTGCCAGGCCATTCTATCTGGCCTGCGGGGCCCCTAAAAAAATTTAGAAAATTAGTATTTATCTGCCACTGGCTGCCTATCATGCAGCCCTCGATGGCTTGCCAAAACTCAGTAAGCGGCCCTCTGCCCAAAATAATTGCCTGCCTCTGCCTTAGCATGTGCTGAGTACTGAGAGATGGGTGCTTTGGACCTGACTTGCCCTGACTGTTGTTTTGAATGCAAAGAAGATTGACTTTATAAATGAAGCCCAAGTGTGAGCTCTTTGAGTGCAAATATGATCAAAAGATTTATTAGCCAAGCGGTAATAAATCCGGCTAATCTGAGGGGGTTTTGATTTTTATTGGTCTCCTAAACTGGCTTTTATTACATGCCTTATAATCAATGTTGCCAGCATGTACACAATGCCGAAAACAAAATCACGAAATGCCAGGGTAAAGGGGTAAGAGATTTTATTGATTTCTATAATAGAAAATAATGATTGTTTTATAACTGGAGGCAATTGCTTTTCATGGATAGGTTGAAATCTGTGTTTTGGGTCTGGCTACTCTTGTATGTATACTGTTTGACTTGGGTCACCAACTTTGTTGAGTCGCCAACTTCACTCCCCTGTACCTTCTGGTCCAGCGAAGGCAACGGGATTGCGTAGGAAGTCATGGTCTACACTGAATTCAGGCCACGCTGTCTTGAAATTGTAGTGGAAGCTTTTGAATGAACAGATGTTAATTTACAGACGTTGGGTACAATTTTCAAAGATGTCTGAATGACTTAGGTGCCTCAGTCCCATTTGAGAGATTTGGGCACTTAACAGTCTAAAAGTAATACTGTAGAGTGAGAGGATATGGCTTTACCACACATTGGTTTGTTTGCCATAACTGCCGGCATACATGCCATTACATCAAGGTGGATAAAATGCACAATTTACCCCTCCTTTCTTTTTCTTTTTTTCTTTTTTTTTTTTTTTTTTTTTTTTTTGAGGGCTAATCTCTTGGTGCTTAAGAGCGTCTCCACAGGCAATTGCCACAGAGAAACCGAGGGGTAAAGTCCTGCCCCCTCTTACCATGCTGTGAATTGTATGTGCATCCCCACATCCCAATGAAAGCAAAGGGAGTTAGGCACTTAAAGTTGGGGTTTTAAGTCTCTAAATCACTTCAGTGCTGTGAAAATGTCCTATTCAGTCAACTGTATATATTTTTTTTTGTAGTTTTCTTGACAGAAATATGATTTTTGTAAAATTATTTTGACACGTTTCCTGGAAAATTTGTGTTTTTTCTATGTGTTGTTTGGACCTATTGGCAATTTTTTAAAATTATTTTTTTTACAATTTTTGACCTGTATGTGACTGGTCAGTTGACCCAACTTTATCTGACTGGTCAAAAACCCAATCCTACTTGAAAGTTAGGTTTTCAAGAGGCCCAATTTAGGTACCTGAAGGAAGCGGCTGGATTCTCCAAAGTGTGCAGAACTTGTCACCCTGCATCGAGAGCGCTAGGGACAGTGGTGTCTTGCACACTGGAAAATCGAGCCAGAAGCGGCGGATCTGTAACTGTGATCTGGGGAGTACTACTTCCACCACGCTCTGATGTTTAATGTCACATGCCTAGGTGCTTTGGATCCGTGTTTCAGTCAAGATGAGGTTTTGTGCATGTGCTACAAGAGGAACCGCTCTTCGGCAGGAGGCTCCCAAAAGCATTAGTGTCACATCACTGCCGTACTTCTGAAACCGTACTCTTTGTGGTTAATGGCACACTATTGTAGTTTTAACAGAAGTCTTGATCAGCACTGAACTTTTATGCTGCATAACTGGAGCAGGATCCAGGCCCTTAATACCTCTGCAAGAAATGCAAGCAGCATGGACTTGCACCTTGTGCAGGAAGTACTTGTCCCCACTAGAGAAAACGCCATACTGGATCTGGTGTTAGCCTCTGGGGATGACCTGGTG